GTCCCGCTCCCGGTGGCCCACGAGCGCCAGGCCCGAGCCCCGCGCGGTGCCCGAGCCCCGGGCATCTCCAGGGGCGGTTTACAGCCTCCTCGGATGCCGGAATAGCCGTGCCTCTCCAGTAATATGTATTCTCCGTAAGTATTCCCCGCTGTGGCATATCCGAAGAGAGCTCCATCAAATAATTATCTTCCCTTTTATTTATTCGCAGTCTTTTCCCTCGATCTGCATCGCTATAAAGTATTCCAACGGCTTCCTCTTAGCGCCCGCGCCCGTAAAGTGTATTTATGCGCGGCGCTAAACCGCGCTCGGCATGGGCAGGATTGCGCCGAGCGCCCCGCGCGTCCCGCTCCGGCGGCACCGGCGCGCGGGCTTCCCCAGCAAGGGTTAACCGAGTGTGCAAAATTGATTGCGGTTTTAGTAATTCCGTATAATCACAGTCTAGCAGCAGGTTGCTTTTCCAGCAGGAGGGTTTGGAATTATTTTCTGGAGTTTGCAATATAGAACTTAAATTAAGCCTCAGAAGTCAGAGGAGCTCTGCCGCATCGCTAATGCGGTGCTAAATTCTCAGCAGCACATTCCCCGTATTAAAGCCTTTGCTAGCAATTAGGTTCATTAACTATCACAATACCTTATTTATTACTCGGCATGCCATATGGTTTCCCAGCTAAAGAATGGCACCCGCTCTCGCACAGACCATTTGGCATCATAAAAATGTTAACAAATAATGTTATGGCTCTCAAGGGCAAAAGGGCTCGCCGGGCTGCGGGCCTGAGCGGCGGGAGAGAATATGAAAACATTTTCCTTCCACAGCAAAATGAAGAATTCCTGGCGACGGCGGGTTCGCCGGCATCACGCAAACGGGTGTTTCACGCGTGCCCGTAACGGCGCGGTCAATGCGCCAGGCCCGCGGAGAGGCCCGTGCGCGCTCCCCTCGTGCCCGGAGCGGGGTCCGTGGGCGCCGTGCGCCCGGGGGTATCGTGCCGGGAGGGGCGGCTTGCCCGCCGTCTTGACACACAAATGTTATCTGGCGCTTCGGCCGCGTAGGAATTTCGGGGCAGATAAGATAGCGGGGCTTTATTGCATCTCCTGGCAGTTATTAAGGAAATAAAACCTGTTAATATCTAACTGTGGATCGGGAGCGCAGCCGCATCCCGGCTCTCTCGGCGCGCTCGGCAGTGAGGGTTAACGGCAGCGCGGGGCCGCTCCGAGGAGCGCGCCGGGATGCGCCGCGTCCCGCGCGCTCGCAGGGGGGCAGCAGCCGCCCGCGCGGGGCCG